ACAGAGGTATCCATTTCTTAAATATTCAAACTTTGAAAATGGTATTCTCTTATTTCTTATTCATTTATATAATCGTAAATCTTGAAATAAGCTACTATTTTTTTTGCAAAGAATTCTGCTTGAAAAATAGGGGGTAGCATGTTTTCGAGATTAAGTTTACATATACTTTTTGCACACGATTTTGACTGAAAAATGGGATAGCTTATTTAGGTAATGCCTTTTACGAATTGTTTCTCATTTTATGTTTTTAGAAAGTTAATTAATCGTTTTAGTTCGAGGTAAATCAGATGATTTCTGTCAGGTGCCTAATCAGAAACCTGATTAATACAGTAAAAAATTTTCAATCAGATGAATTAGTAATTTATTAAGCCAATCCGAATGGAAAATTTTTGCTGCATTAATGTTAGAGAAACGCCCAAATGGCTAACGTTAATGCTAAGAAAAGTGTTGTGCATGCATGCACATCCGTATGTTAATTACATGTACAGTACAACACATATCGATATGTACTCGCTCTCCGACACAAAAAAATCGATTATATTATCGATATGAGATCGAATATTTTCAATTATCAGAATTTATTTAAATACATAGTTTTAATTTGCACTTTTTTCGTCTCTATTGCTTTTTTCTTGTATTTGCTCTTCCATTTTTTCATCATTTGTTTTATAGTTTTTCAATAAATGTACTTTTGTTCGTAATTACTATTTGCGTCTAAAAAAGTTGTTGAATGACAAAATGGTATTAACTATCGCCGAAAGATGTACGCTGACCCTTTTTGATTATACATGTATTATCGTTATACTGTGTAATTTATTTGAGATAATTCTAATATTTCGTATTATATTTATTTCAGCCAAAAATCAAAGAGAACGCAAAAAAGAAGAGTTCGAAACATTAAAAATAAATTACGAACAATTAAAATCAAATTACGAAACCTTAAAAGCAGAATACGAAGCATTAAAATTACAATTGTCGGCTTGTAACCAGAAATGCGAAAATTTATCCGATACTTTAGCTGAAAGAAGCCTAACAATTGCTCAGAAAGACGAAATAATTGCTCAGAAAGATAATATAATTTCTGAGAAAAATGATAGAATTGCTGAGCAAAAAGATATGATTGCACATTATATGATAAATGGTGTAATGGAAATTTTCACAAATTAAAATGTAAGTACATATAATACCAGCAGCATCAATAATAACCATGCTAATAATTTCCACAACAATCATCCTGACTACCACAGAAGTAACCATTTGTAAATTCAGTCACAACATTCAAATCGATCCTCGACTAATCGCATTAAACGGCAGCAATAGCAGCAGCCAACAAGGATCTTAATGGTTTGGTTCTTATACATAGCAACATAATGATTCTTAATTTATTTATTACATATCTTTAATTTAATTATAACTTTAATTTACGTATTGATTACGTGTAACTTTTTTGTAATTTTTCATCCTTACCTTGTATAATTACCAACTCTCGGCAAATAGTATCCTTTTAATAAAGGAGCCACCACCCTTTTTTTATCAGTAGCTTTCTTTTTCTAATTTGCTAACATAACTATGACATGTAGTGAATTTTTTTACATGTAATATAATTTGTCGCAGAAAATTTAATTAATAACAAGCACTGCAGTAATAGTTGGCATTATATTTTCTATTTGGTAAATCAAATATCAGATAGATCGCATAAAACTTTTCTAAGTTTGGGAATAAAATAAAGCAATATTAAGAAATTCATTGACTTGAACATTTTCAAATTTATTTGAAGAAATTCTGTATTGTCGTTACCCATGTCACACTATCGCTTTATCAGCGATAAAGAGCGGACTTTTTTATCCGTCGCATATTCCGTTATGGCAGAAGTTGAAACGCCATAGATAATGCATGTACATGTATAAAAATTTCTGATTTGCATGAATTTGGCGTTTCGAGATCTAAATTTAGTTTATATTTCATTGTTTGTGTGATTCAACTAATCCACAAAAATTCTATACAACTTGAAAGAATAAGAATTACATGCACTAAGCTGAGGTTTACGTATTAGAACGTTACGTTGTTTCTTTTAATTGACCATAAATTACATGATACAGTTTTTTGCGGCTGGACACCGCAATTGTTGTGAATTAAATAAAGATAAACAGTACGGTTCTGTTATGCTTAAGCATTTTATAATTTAATCACCTGAAACAAATTGGCTTTTGTCTCATGTATATTCGAGTAGCCTGTTAATTTTCGGATTTACTGACTACAATATCCTTATATAGGTCGTCATGAAAATATCCACATTTGTTTTATTGTATATAACGATAAAAGAAATATTGTTTTATTTTGCAGCTTCACGAAAATGGAGTACGATTATTATGAAAGATTAAAATCGAACACTAAATTTATTATGTTCGTTATGCAACTAAAAAAAGCTTCTTTTTGAATATAGTACAAACATGTTTAAATGTAAAAAAAGAATTCTATGGTTTTTCATAAATAAAGAAGATTGGTTTTATTTGGGAAAACAACAATGAAAGAAAATTTATTGTTTAAAAAAGGAAATATTTGAATGAATATTTTGACGAAAAATGGGTTTCCTTATAAGGAAAAACAACAAAGAAAATTCCAAAAAGGAAAGATTTGAATGAGGATAATTATTACCGTTACTGTATTACTTTGATGAAAACTATATTTCCTTATAGGGAAAAAATAAGAATCAATGGTTTGAATGAAGATAATTAACATTGACAAAACACACACACATCGAGACGAATCAAGAGTATATAAATCATGCCTTTTATTTACAAACTTTTGTCTATAAAATCATCTTTTGTGTTTTAACGAAAAATGCCCTCTTACTTGGAAGACAATTTACTCATGATCTCAATCTTAACACCAATACTGACTTTAGAATCCATTTTTAACGTTAATCTTTCCGGGAACGATGTAAAAGATTTTGCTTTATGAATGAAGCATTACGAATTTGAATTGATGTAACGCAAAAATTAAATGTAAAAAAGACGGAAAAACATTTTAGCTTGATTCACCGATTAAAAATGTCGGGAAGACAATTTTACATATACTTATTTTTCTATATCCTGATTTTAAAAATCAGAACTTGGGGAAATTAGTAAATTCCCTCTATAGTTTCCGTCCAAAATTATGGTTTTTTTGGACTTAACTCCAAATGATACTGAAATTTATAGCGTTTTGTATGTATTTGATATGACTTCCCAACAACCATATCTCAACAAACGAAATCCTGAAAAATCAATATCCCGAGAAGCTAACGTTTCGAAAACCTGACATCTCAAAATCTCGATTCGAATCCTATGAGAAAGTTACTAAATGCGTGACTATAACAAGATTTTGACTATAACGAGATACGACTACACTAAAGTTCTAAAGGTCCCATACCCCGGAAACTGTTCAATCAAAGTGAATGTAAAATACAAACATTAGATAAGTTGGAAATGGAAATCAAGTTATTTAATTTTTTAAAACTGACTATTATCAAGTATACTCTATCTACTGAACTAGTAGCTAACTTTTTCCAAAGATATTGGGCTTTCGAGATTTAAACATCAGGCTTATAAGTTTTCGGGAAGTTAGTATTTTGGGACTTTGAGTTTTCGGGATGTTGTATTTCATAATGTTAAAAAGTTGTGGGATTTCGTTTGTATATCGATATTGAATCGATTACATGCGACAACACAATCCAATAAGAATGCGCAAATTTTTAATCAGCCCAACAAAACAGATCCGAAAAAGAAAACGAAAATAGAAAAATATAGAACCGGAAGTTAAAATCTGACTTGAAGCTCTAATAAAGGGGACATTTTTACATATAATCTGGTCCTATCTCTAACCTTATCCCTAACCTTACTCTGAAAAAAGCCTTTAATAGTTGCCGGCACACAAATGATTTGCACATTCTTATTGGTTTGTTATCATGTAATCAGGAACCGGCACTGATTTGTCGCGATATGGTGTATCGGATGTTGAACGGCACTCTTTTACTTTCACATATGGTGATTGTTAACGTTAAGGAACCAGAAATTTATAAGACTATAAACAAAAATATATATATCCATTGATATATTCGTGTATAAGCCGGAAGTATTTTACAGGTGATGCGCAAACCTGTATTGGAATTATAATTAAAAATGTAGGTGAGCAATTTTACATATAATTTTTGTCTCTAAGACTCTTATTCTGACCTTATAATCACATGACTCACAACGCTTTATATCGTATTCTCAAAAATAGGGACGCATAGTATCCCGTATGTTTAATAGCAACAAGTGTTATACACAATCCAATCGAAGATCGAACGCGAAAAATCGCTATCATAACTGGTTTTCGTTCTCTAAATAAAAATCCTCGGTGTAAATTTTAGAACTTTGAAGTTAACACATAACTTTACTGAATTTAATCATTGATTCCTGATCCATCCCACGATCAACTCGAAACACAAGCAACAAAGGCTGCGTAAAGTTTTGATCAGCCCAGAAATACAACTCTGAAACGCGAACAAAATATGCGGAAACAGATATTTTGGAGCCCTAATGAATTATGGAAATATTTTTTTTCTAATTCAGGGAAAACTCAAAAATAAACATAACGGATTTAAACTGGTTTTTAATACAAAAAATAAATCCGGCACTAATCACTGTCAAATTGCCCAAAGAATCGTGCATGCATAGATGCATGCATTGTCACCATATGTTACAACACATCGATATATGCTCGATTCTCCAATGTAAAAATGTACTATATAATCGTAAAAAATCGATTATCCATACTTATAAATACTCACAGAGTTGAGCTTCGCCATGTAGCTCTTTAGCATTATTGCTTCTTTCTCTTCACTTCAAGAAAGAAGCGTCTAATCAATTATTGGATACTTCTCGCCCCACGCTTCATACTTTATTAATTTCCTAATAAAATATTCCCCTGCTCATAAAAAATTATTTTCGTTTATAAAAATAATCATTAAGCAACAAATGCCACGACCACCATCTGCCACAAAAGCTGCCAGAAATTGTATGCTGTATTTTTTCATTATGCTCAGTTTACTTATAATTTACTGAGATGATACTAAATTTCTTATCATATAATATTTATTTAGCTAGGGTCCAAAGAATGAAAAAAAAAGAATATATTAAGAATATAGAAGAAGAAATTAAAAAACTTCAATCGGAAAACGAACAATTAAAATCGAAACTGTTAGATCGCGAATGGGAATTCAAAAATTTAGCTGACAAAGGTGGTATAATCGTTGAGCTAAAAAATATAATTTCCGAACAAAAAATTCTGATTTCCGAGCAAAAAAAAATAATTGCCAATCATCATAATGGTCATGCCAATCATGCCAATCATTATATTATAAATGGTGGGCGATTTCCCACAAATGACAACAGTATGACTAACAACAATCAAATTAATACCGATACCATTTATGATGACATTAATTTTAACAACTTTATTGATCTTCAGGAAGTCGAAAGAGACGGCAGCAATAACATGAACCATCAAGAATCTTAATGATTCTATTCTTCCGGCTACCAATCAATTTAGATTGATATGCTATGTAATATTATAAGCTAATATATACTGTAATATTAGGATAATATGTAATATTAGAGTAATATATTTTTTAGAGTGATATGTAATCTTATAGGATAATACAATTTTTGCAGAAAGTAATGATGGAATAATTTATAATTAATATCAAAAATCACAAAGAAATTTTTATTTGGAATTGGAAATCAACTCGCCAAATCTTGCGTATGCAATGTAATATAGCATATTATATAATGCAGCCAATAATATAGCAGGCATTATGTAACATAGCATGTCATATAATGCAATCAATAATGTAGCAGATGCGTATAATCATATTAAATAATT